TATCTATATTAGGGATGGTCTGATAACCGGTTACAAGGTATACCGTGATTTGAAAATTTCACGGTTTCAAAGGCACTAATATTTTCTGTTATACCGTTCCTGCGGTATGCGCTGTTTTTCCATGTCTCCTCAAAGACTGAAAGTGTAGGAATCCCTCAGGTTGAGTGCAGTGTAGAGAGTAACACGTTTGAAGTACAATCTGGAATGTCTTTTTCTATCAATTCTTCAATAGGTAGATCTTGTCTTTCATAAAGGCCGAGCTGAGGGATCTTGGGCCTAAAAATGTTGGTGACCACTGATATAAATGATATCTGTATTATATAACTAAAATTAAATAACTGTAATTACAGATTTAGGTTAAATAAAGATGTCAGTGTTTATTTTTCTTTTTTTTCCACATCAAAAGCTTCAAGACAGCCCACAATTCAGCAAACATGTCAGAAACAAATCAAAGAAAAAATAAACAAATACTGCTGTTCCAAATATTCTGTATGTTGCTCAAAAATAAAATATATTGTGTTCAGTGAAAAAAATTATTTATTTATTTATTTTTACCCAGACATTTAAAAACAACACATTTTAGAGCTGTAACAACAATACTGTGAAACTGTGATATTTTTGCTTAAGGTTATCATACCGTCAAAATCTCATACCGGCCCATGCCTAATCTATATAAAATAGAAAATATATTTTTAATTTAGTAATTTTCAGAGTAGTTAGGAAGAATTTAATGTTCTTGAGGTTCAAAGCCACCCCAAAAGACAAAACCGACATGGGTCAGCATTTGGCGACTGACCTCTCATGCTCCGAACAGTCTACTGCAATCATGAGAGCGGCGTATAATTCTAGGCAGTGGTAACATTTACAGCACGGGTCATATAGTTTACTGGGCCAAACGGCTCAGATGTGTTTTGTGTGGGCCGGACCCTGCTATTACAGTCCAGGTCTCTGAGAGGTCACATAGCAGAGCTAAGAAGGGTCAAAATGTGGAGGTGGGCAGCTGGACCACAACAATCAGAGAAGCTGAAAACTGTAAGATTGTTTTTGCCCTCTTTATCATAGACCAGGTAAAAATTGTAAGTCTGGGCTTTTTGAGAAGTAATAGCACACATTTCCTCAACAAGCCACATGATTTGAGGAACCATGTCTGTAGCATCAGTCTTGTAATTGTTAACTGAAAATAAAACTATTAAAAAATTGTATAGTAATTACAATGAAGCTGAAAAAATAAAAATAAAAAGCGAAATATTAGATTAAAAAGCTTAAACCAAAAAAAAAAAAGAATATTTTTGATGAAAATATTTCTTATATTAAAAATATAAAAACTAAAAACTGAAAATATAATAAAGCTCATTCAAAATATTAATACAATCTATAATAGTATACAAATAATATTAAAAGAACACTGCATAGCAAACATGGTGTGAGCAAGCGGATATATCGGTTATAGCTGTAATACTGTATAAATAGCAATTGAACTGCCTGTTGTTCATTTTTAAAATAACATTTTTCTAAATGTACAAAATCAGAAAGTTCTCTGTATAATATACATGTTTTTACCCAGTTATTGTAATCACTATAATAAGTACATGTGTATCAGGATTGTTTTTTTATGTTTTAAAATAAGTCTTTTATGCTCACCAAGGTGACATGCATTTGGTCAAAAATACAGTCAAAACAATAATATTGCGATATATTAGCACAATTTTCAAAGAATTGTTTTCTATTTTAATATATTTTAAAATGCTAACTAAAATAAACAGCATTCTCCCTGTAAGGACTATAAACCTTACAGGTCTTTAAACGTTTTTCAAACTTTAAAAATGACAAATTAAACTGTAACTTTAGAACAACTGAGTACTGAATCCTGTAACTAACTCAGAATAAACCCACACAGGCCACAAATACGTGCCTGTACTTTTAGTCAAGAAACAATAAATTGGGCGTCAAGCATCACCTATGCAGGCTCATACTGTACCTCTTTTGTGGCTCAAGGCAGTTTTAAACCCACATATAGAAGAGTGTCAGCTTTAATTTAGACAAAAACACAAACTGTCAAAAACGGAAAAGGGAGGGTTTCGAAAGATAATAATAATGAACCACCAAACTGTAAAAAAGAACACAGTTAACGCAAATAAAAATCCGGTTATTATTTGTAGTTTAGACCCTGATCATTATAACCTTCAAGTTGGCACGGTGCCTGCAGGCAAGCCTAGACTGGGAAGGCAGATCTCTTCTATTATTCATGGTTTGCATGTGTGGGCACAAAGGTACAATGTTTTGTATTATTTTCTTATTGCAAAACTTGAAATGAGTGGTTTACTTTTCTACCTGACAAAAATAATTACTGCCTACTTATTTACCAGGATTCACTTAAGAAATAATGAATCAAAACTTTAACTGATACTCAGACCTACCTGCGAGGAGTGGCATCCTCATGGGGCGGTATGATGACAACTTTCACAGTTACTGAGGTGCGGAGCAGGTCTATCATTTGCTCGTGTGAAAGTGTTGCCACAGCCACCTTGCAAATTTCAACCAACCGGCTGCCTTGCCTTAGCCCCGCTTGCCAGGCATACCCATACGGCTCCACCTCTGCCACGATGCCTTCGTAATTAACGTGAAAACCAAGCTGGCCCAGGCCATTCCTCCGCAAGGTCATCTCTGATGTCTCACAGCCTTTAGTGAGGTGCTGAGAGAAAGGAGTGACATAAAAGATTGATATGACTGAAAATTTTTCTGGTTTCTAAAGCAATTTTATGCAATTTAGAAACAGATTTCCTCTATTAAGGATGCAAGACCTTGTCAAAAATGCACAGTGGATTGAAAATGTCTATCATAAGCTATTATACCCTACTGCAATGTATAAAGAAAGCTCTGCTAACAAGTTTCGTGACTGTGATGGAGATCATGAGCATTCAGTTCGCGGAGTACTAGTTACCATGGCAACAGCTCCTGCACTTCAAGAGTGACATAATGGACAGGGGCCCAAATCAGAAGTACATTCAAGCTACTGCACAGTTATACAAAGGCTCTCTTAAACACCATTAATTCACACAATGAATCATACACAGCACAGCCATAAAAACTGATTTAAGCTTGTGTGAAAGCTTGATAGTTATAAATCCACGTGGGTATAAACCGAAAAAGATTAAGAACCAAAAAAACGAGATCTCAGGTCCATGTTCTGTACATGTGACTGAAAACTTTCAGGGAAAAAATTCCTTTAAATTAAAAAACAACAATCTGTCATGATACTGTCATGCAACTCCAAACTTACCTCTAAACGTCTGATAACCTCGCGGAAGTCTTCAGTGTTGTTATTGATGGAGCGCAGGGAGATGCTCTCTCCACGTTCATAGTAGATCTTCATGGAAGCAGGGCTTCCCAGCGTCCAACCAATGACATCTCGGACAGCGCAGTTGAAGACAACAGCCTTGGCTTCTGGGTCCACCAGCACTAGGAAATCATTTGAAATGGCCAGCAGGGCCTCCAGTTCTCCTCCGGCTCCGTGGTCCTCGGCGTAAACAGGCCAGGTGATGGCCCCTGGGCTACGCAGCTCTGCGTTAAAATATGGCCGGGTCTTTTCCTTACGCTTGTGGGCCAGAGAAATAAAAGGAAATTTGCCCGAAGGATCGATAGGCGTGCTTGTAACATGCCGTTCGGCCAGGTCCCTCAAGTACTCCTGTCGCGTCCGAGTGGCCATGGCGCGGAACTTGTCTGACTTGTGGGCTGCATTTTCAGCATTGATGACCTTGGCTAACAGGAAATCTCGAAAGACGGTGGACTTCGGGAACATAGCATCCTCAGGAATAGGCGATCCAAAGGCAGGTACATCTCGTGAGCGAGCCACTGCCACGCTGTGAATGAGGGGGTGGAGATAATGGACGGGAAACAAGAGAGAAAATTTCAAACAATGAGACAAATTGCTCATCACATGCTCAAGATAATTGCTAAACCATCCTCAAACATCCCTAAAGGCCCTCATGTTTATGCATGAACGAAATTCATTCCAAAGACAATGTGGCTGCTATGGAAATTATGAAACTAAAAGTCAAAGTGTGAAGTGTAGCAGTTGGGACATCAAATACTTTGCCAAATGGGAATAGGAGGAAATTATCAAAACAGCATGGATGGGTATTATGCTGTTGACTACTACACACAGTGCTAGTAAACTTGGACAGACCCCTCATACGCTACAGAAAAACATTTTGAATTCAATTCCATCTCAAACCTTTCTTCTCTACCTCACTTGCTTCATCTCTCCCCCATTTTTTCTTTTCATTAAGCCTCTGGCATGGACATCTAAAGCTTCCTGCTCGGTCTGGTATGCTTGGAACTCGTATGCAACTAGCCAGGCATAGCAGTAATGAGTAACCTCAATCTAAAGTGATACTGGAGGAGGAAGACAAAGAACCGCAAGGCCCAGAGAGAGAGATAGAGAGAGATGAGGGGGGGCAAAGAAAGTACTGCTGTCTGTGCGTGGGACTCATCTGTAAAAACACTGAGGGGAAACATGTACGTGTGTGGTAGAAAAATGAGCTTGCAAACTCATTACAACATAAACTTCTCTCCCGCAGTACCAGCAGCTTGCTGAAGTACGGACTGAGATTAATAACTTGTTGATATCTAATTCAGTAATATTGTTTCTCTTTCTTCGCCTGCAGGAATAAATAACACAGACTTGGTGAAGACTGAGACTGGTAACCAGAAGTTTGCTGGCCTGATTCTCACAATAATCGAGCCATAAATTAATCACCCTTGTGACCGATAAAAACTATTACACAGGTCCTTTATGCACGCCATGGTAATTAATGATGATCATAATCATATATCATGGTATTTACCTGATAATACCAGTTATTTCAAAAGAATATAATGGTATTACCATGAAACACCCTATAACAAACATCATGATACTTTTTTTTGTAACTGCATATTTTAAATCTCTCCCATCTAACAAACATTGAAATAACTTTTTTAATGCATGTTATTGACAAGTGGTGAGTAAAGAGTTGTTAGTGTAAGCAAATGGAAGCGTTAAACTGCTGCAAGTGTTAATGGGATGTGTGTTTTCCATAATTGACAGAGCCCATTTTTGTCACACATTTTCACATCTGTGAACAGGATGGCATTACCATGGTTCGGTTCCAAAAAAAAACAAGGTATAGCCAAGTGGTAACCAACTTATCATAGTAGTAAAACCTACAAAACTTTTTTTTGCAATTGCTCTATTATTTTAAATATCTGCATTATATTGTTTAAGCATAAAGCAGGCCAAACACCCACAGTTGTGCTTCACCAATGGCATACAAAAACCAAACTCTGTATGATAGTGTGGACAATATCAGTCATCAACATTTTTTAAAAGTCAGAATAGAGTAGTGCACATTCCATCCAAACATAATCCACTTCTAGGCATTGAGCGGTTATTCAGTGACTAAAAGCAAGCGGGCTGACTTTATTGTTGTAGCCGACCCCTTTGGCTTAGGTGGAGAGGCAAACTGGATTACATATCTGAAGTAAAAATACATAGCGTGTGGGTTGGTGGAGCATCCACTGCCCACAGCAAGGAACCAAAGAAACTCCACACAAGCAAATAATACCCTGACCCACTCAGAAATACACAGGTGTACAAGTATCGCATGCACAAAGCAGAGTTCTCACATACTGTAAACTTGTTCAAAGGACAAACCCAATCTTGATACACTAATTTCCGGTATAACATTCAAGGTTTTTGTAAACAATACAGTGTTTTCTAAAAAAAAAATAATAATAAAAGATTTACTGTAACGTGATCATTTCTTTAAGTAAAATACTGTTTGCTATTTAATATCTTTTTAAAAAAAAAGTAATTTAAAGCAGAATTTTTAGCAGCCATCACTCCTTCAGAAATCATTTTAATATGCTGATTTGGAGTTGATACATTTTTTATTACACTATTAATTTAAACTAGAAGTCTTTTGTAACATTGTAAAATGCCTTTACTTTCACTAAATATTTAAATGTCACTTTTGATCATTTTAATGCATCCTTGCTGAATAAAAAGTATTCATTTATTTTTAAAAAGTAACTTTTGAATAGTACTGTACTCCTGAGAGAAATTTGCTTGATTCACAATGATATGTTTTAGGGTCTTTTTCACCAATTTTTCATTAATTGAACTACACTGCAAAGATGATGCAATGGGAAGTAATATTAAATGAAATCTTTGTGTTGATTTTGTCTCATTTCAGAGATTCCAATCTTTATTATTGTCAGTCCAACAAGGAACCTGTAGCAAATGTCCATAGAATTATAAGACCTGTCATTCATAAAACTCTATAAACTCTATAAAAGTTTATGAAATATTTCAGCTACTTCAAAAATGTTTTGAGCTACCAAAAAGAGCTTGAACACATTTCACCATGTTCAAATCTATTTTCTGATTTTATGGCTAAAACTGCAAAAGTCTGCAGATTCCATCAGATTTAATTCAGACGGCAACCTCACAGAACCATAATTGCTTTTTCTGTGACACTGTAGAATCAGCGGCGTCGCAATAGCGATGCAGGAAAATGCTTCTGTATAGACTTTGCTAAAAAGCATTAACAGCTTCCACTTTGTACAACATTACCATCTACCTTGCCATTTCACTGGTGGCTGAGAGGTTGTCTGCCAGAATTATAGGGCTCCAGTGAACAGTGCTAACCACTTCAGTACACCCAACAGCAGCCAATAAAACAACAGGAGGGCATATAATTTATTAACGCTCTCCCATAAACACCTTTAATCACTCTTCTTACCTGTGTTTCACCTTTACATGATTAAACAGTCACACTACATGCTCACAAATGAAAACCCAAGACCCGCTGAACCCACCTGCTCCACTTCCTGACTTCCATTCCAATTCTTGTCAATACGGTCAAAGCAGGTTAATATGGCAAGAGTGGCCACAGCTGAGGAAAATTCAAGCTCACGAGAAGAATCCACTGTGCGGATGAAGGGGCTACAAGAGGGAGGGAGTCCGTCAGGGAAGGAGGAGCAGGGTTGTCGGGTTTAAGCGACAGGCCCCCAATAAAGCCGTCCTCATGAGAGGACAGTTGGCAAAGGTGTGCATGCAGCACTCTTATTTGTTGTGTGCTCCGTTTAGCTTATTGTTCCAGAGAACTTCGGTCAAGATGGGCCTTTGTAGCTTCTGTACTTTCAGAGCTGAACAGCGATGAGGCTCCCTACTGGGTATAATTAAGACGACACACAATGAGGCCCATGAGCAATTAAAACCTCTATTAGTTTCATGAGGCAAAACAGAAAGCAAGCAAGGGAGAGAGGGAGCGAGTGAGTATGTGAGTGAAAGATTAAGGGAGTAAGTCACAATGAAGACATCAATAATCAACTTAATATTTTTCGCCCGTTCGGTTCACATAAGCACACATTTTGTCTTTTGTTTGACTCATAGTAGCACTTTCGAGGTTGGACTGCAAGCAATGCAACGATCAACAAATCCTACTGATAAACAGCCCCCAGTAGGCGTGAAGGAAATTAAGCGGGCCTAGCTCATTTGAAGTGGTTAAGAGCAGCGCTCTCTTGGGTAATGTGCTGTATGACAAGAATAATAAGCTGGCCAGAGGATATCAAGCAAGAACATAACCCACCATGGGCAGGAAGAAAATCCATTTCTCCAAAAATAAAACCAAAAACAACACCACTACAATCAGGCTGACTGATAATGGATTCTGGCGATACAACAAGATGGGGAAAAGCTGGTTTTAAATTAATTGGCCAATATTTTTAATTGAAAATTACTCTTTTTTTTTTTTATATTTTAAAAAATATTAAAATATGAACACATTGAAATGTACACTACTGTTCAAAAGCTTAAAGGGTTAGTTTACCCAAAAATTAAAATTAGCCCATAAATTACTCACCCTCAAGTCATCCTAGGTGTATATGACTTTCTTCTTTCAGACGAATCCAGTCGGAGTTATATTAAAAATGGTCTTTGATCTTTCAAGCTGTTTAATGGTACTCAGCGGGTGTTGCATGCATCAGTTCAAAAGAAGTTAAATAAAAAGCGCCCATCCATTAAAAAAAAAGTCTCACACACGGCTCCGGGGGGTGAACAAAGGCCTCCTGTAGCGAATCGATGTGTTTTTGTAAGAAAAATATCCATGTCCGTTGTATTATTATTATTTTTTAATAGATGGGCGCTTTTTATTTAACTTCTTTTGAACTGATGCATGCAACACCCGCTGAGTACCATTAAACAGCTTGAAAGATCAAAGACCATTTTTAATATAACTCCGACTGGATTCGTCTGAAAGAAGAAAGTCATATACACCTAGGATGACTTGAGGGCAAGTAATTTATGGGCTAATTTTAATTTTTGGGTGAACTAACCCTTTAAGGTCTGTAAGATTTTTTTTTATGTTTATGAAAGAAGTCTCTTATGCTCACCAGGGCTGCATTTATTTGAACAAAAAAAACAAAACAGAAACTGTAATATTGGTAAATATGATTATCATTTAAAATAAATGAATACAAAGTTAAAAAAAAACAGCAGTATTTGAAACCTTTTGTAACAAATGTATTTACTGCCACTTTTAATAAATTTAGTGTGTACTTGAATAAAAGTATTAATTTATTTATAACCTTTCAACTACGTGTAGCGAATCAGCTCATGGGGAAATATGAATAATTAACCAACAAGTGTTATGAACAACCAGTCATGCAATCAAAATTATGGCTTTTAGTTCAAGTCTAGCAGCTCAGACAACTAAAAGGCAATTCAGCAGAAAAATGCATTTACAGTCTTTCTATTCCAGAAAAACAGACCAAAAATATTGATTATTACACAGTTAAAAGCTCTTGGGAATGAAAATGTCCCAATACAATAACACCAACATCTACAAACCACTCATGTTCATGGTGTGATACAATTATAGCCTAAAAAGAATGAGTTCAATGTCCCACCCAAATTTCCTGTTTCAAAAGAAAATTCATCAACACAGGAATACAAATTCTACACATCAATGTCTCATGGGACATATCACAAACCTCATTTCATAATGTGGTCCATAGAGGGTTAGGTACACACAGCAGGTCTCAGTTTAGAGTCAGAAATGAATGAAAGTTACTGTTCAGTAAGAGAGTCCGATGTTAATTCAGTAAATGATTCTGTAGAATTTGTCTGAGGGTATATTCACACCAGGAAAGTCAGCTAGTTCACTTGCTTTGGTCCGGACCAAATACAATATAGATTTTTTTTTGTTTGGTGTGGTTCGCTTTCACAATGCCCTTTTTGTGAGTGAACAAGAAATTGTAAACAAAACCACACGTGTGCTAAGGTCTTCATCGGACAGAAATTCTCAAGCGTACCAGAGTTCGTTTGGAACCGGACCGAGACCACCTCTTCAGCTGACCAAAAGAGAGGGGGGAAATGAACTTGAGTCGAACCAAACAAGACAGGTGTGAATACACCCCGAGTCTCTTCAACTGACTCAATACAACACTAGTCTACATTGGTTTCACTGTATCGTACAGTGTTGAGCACTGCTGCTACCACAGACTGAAAGTCATCATGTGTGGTGTTGACACAAAATGCACCGTTACCAATTACAATAAATTCAAAAATAATTTTTGCAGCTAAATAAAAGTCTAATTTACTCACCTGTAGCAGGTGTTTTCGGAGCATGGGTTGTGCGCTCGAACAACCACAAAGACATGCTGAAAGTGTGATCGGATGTTCTTGGGGCTAAAGGGCTTTGCTCCGGGCTCTTGAAACACGATTGTGACGATGTCATTTCCAATGTGTCTTTTCCTTAAGAGCTATAAAGCACAAACAACATAAATCAGTATACACTATTGCTCAAAAGTTTGGAGTAGGAACAATTGTTTAAATTTTTTTAAAAGAAGTTAAAAAAAACTTTTGAAATAAAAATATACATTCAATGTATATTAAATATATCAAAATATAATCAATGAATCAAATATAAATTCAATGTGAATTTAAACTGCATTTAAATTGAACGCTTTAATGACTTCTTGCTAAATAAAAGTATTAATTACTCCTAAAAAACCCTTACGACCACAAATATTTAAACGGTGGTGTATGTAATAGTTTAACAATGAAGGTAAAAAGATCAACTTTTGCGACGGTGTTTGTCTTTGGACAGCTTACCTGCTGTTTGTTATTGGGCGTGTAGGGCAGCATTGTAGACACATGGAACATGATCTCATAGTCTTTAAAAGTTGTGTACAAAGAATGTGTTCCGGTAGAGTCCGCTGCAAGAAAAAGCTCACATTACCCTTTCATACACTGTTTTTATATGACCATCTGCTTTTCTTTTGTTTAACAAAAAATTTCTGTTTGGTCTGAAGGGAATATACAGTCTAAAGCCTTTGATCATCCAGCCTCATTTATTTAACACTCCTTGACTTGTTGCCTTTATAGGACCCCTTTTTTCTATTGTTCACAAATAGGATACTTCAGTTCTCACTCTGGACCGTGGCCACAGAAGCATGGCGGTACAAAATCATCTTCTCCTCAGTCCCTCCTTCCCGATCTCTATTCTTCACCTGACTCCGAAACCATGTCCTAATCCGTCAAACCGAGATCAAAGCTTTCAGACAACTCTGCCGCCCAAAACGTCAAGTCTGATAAATGGAATTAAAAACATGCATGTGATCAGAGACAATATTCCTTAGGTCACAGGGGAGAGGTGGAGCACGGCTGCCAGGCACGGCATGCACGACTGGCTCTCAAATAAGGGCACTCGGTTCAAATTGAAACAAAGTAGAGGATAGAACAGGAGATGAATGTTGGTGTTTAGATCCATTCCCATTTAATCACAACCTCCAACTGTCAACAAACCGCTAACAGTGGAGTGACGCATTTAGAACGTGCTTAGAATTAATTAACTAGCCCTATAGACTAATAGACTGTAGTGATGGGAAGATTACCCGATTCGCTCGGTGCATCGGCATAAAAAGTTAACGGATGCAATGCATCGGTTTAAAAAGTGTGCATCGGCTACAAGTTGTCATTTATATCGCGATGCATCGTTTCTAACATATTTGCATCGATAAAAACTGATTTATTTATATATAATTATTAGTGGATGCGCTATACTTTTATTATTTAGAAAGTGACCAATAATCTGTGACCAATATTTTATATGTAGATTGATTTCTCCTCTCTAAATTGTTTATCAAGCGCACTCTCTCATCACTGCTGCTGCTGCATCACAACACCACAGAGACCCGGCCGAGGAAAAACAGGGATTAAAGTCCAAAAGCTGACTTGAAATAACCTAACAAATCAATCGGGACTAAAGCGGTTCCATTAACGACAAATTAAATTCACACAATCTCACTAATTTGTGCACGCTTATTCTTAAGCAGACCTTAATGTCGATCATGGATCAAATCGATCCACCATGACAAACAGCAAATATATCTGTGCTGTTTAATGCATTTGAGACGTTGCGTTTTCCTCAGTGCATACCTGACATGTCACAGGTATATTTTTCATCTGTATATGTTATAAAGTCATGCAAACATGTCCATTTTGCTGTCAGGGGTGGGTGAGGCACGCAAGAGCAACAAGCGCTGCTGCGCACATGCACGCTAAAACAGACAGAGTGCAATCGAATAGGAGCGCAATAATTCTGAGTAAAATATACATTTTGCTAAAAAAATTGTTTTTGGACATTAAATGTGTCTTTTGTAGAATTTTAAACCTGCACATAAATTTTATTTTGATGATAGTAGTAACTGTAATTGGACTATAGTAATAAGTAAATCAAATGTAAGCTAGTAGGCTACTAATTACTAAGCTCAAATGAGTTAATGCGTGTTTCTTATAGCAGTTAAAATTTAGTCATTTTCTTTTATTTATTTTCATTTTTAATTCAGTGATTTTAACTTTTAATTTAGTTATTTTAATGCTTTAAAGAGCAATTTTAGATTGTTATGTTCTGATGTTCTGCTATCTGTTCTGCAAACTATAAAAGGTACAGCCAGAGAGAAAGGCTGCATGGCTGGAAACTGTAAAAAAACAACAACAAAAAAACAAAGTCAAATAATATTATGTAAGACAGTTGTAATATCATTATGTTCCTATTGGTCAGTAGACGAGCTTAGCTTAGCCTGACAGTTAGCCTGCTTTAGACCAGGTTAGTTTCCCAGCATAAGTTGCCACAGTGACTAAGCTTGATCGAGGCCTATGTTAAATTTGCTTTATGGAACCAAATCATTTGACAATGAGTCAGACTAACTGAAATAAGCCTGGCTTATTTGGTTAACTTGTTTTATGAAACGGGCCTTGAGGCATTAAAAGTGATCATATTTTCTCCATTGCATCAAATCGCATTGTGTTGAATCGAATGGAAATCGGATCGCACTGCATCGTAACAGGGGTGAATCGTACCGCATCGCATCAATAGCTGCTTCATATGAATCTTTAATGTATCGTAGGCTATGTATCGAGATGTGTATCTTATCTCTTGAGTCATGAGCTGCACATCCCTACTAGACTGACATGACAGGAGGCCAGAGATTCAATCGTTTTTTTTTTGTCCCTTTAGCTACATGTCTTTTTAATCACACACTAAGCCCCATTCGGGCTTCAGTGGCAATTAAATAAACTTTCAAGATGATAAGACTCACTTTTGGGTGAATCGTACCGCATCGCATCAATAGCTGCTTCATATGAATCTTTAATGTATCGTAGGCTATGTATCGAGATGTGTATCTTATCTCCTGAGTCATGAGCTGCACATCCCTACTAGACTGACATGACAGGAGGCCAGAGATTCAATCGTTTTTTTTTTGTCCCTTTAGCTACATGTCTTTTTAATCACACACTAAGCCCCATTCGGGCTTCAGTGGCAATTAAATAAACTTTCAAGATGATAAGACTCACTTTTAGTGTCCAGTTGGGCACGGTACTTAGAAAAACCCTTAAGGCGCACCCTTTCCCCCAGCAACTGCAGGAACTCTTCTAGGGCGGGACCTGCTGCCTCATTATTGTACATCTCCTCCTCGCTGCTTTGGCTGGCCTGACAGTACATGATTCCCACCTTCAGCTGGAAACTGAGCTGCAGAACAGATCGTAAATAAAGACCATTAGCCCATGAAAAACAGGAATAATTGGTGTCAATATATTTTCTTATTTGGGTTGCCAATTAAATGTACTAATTTAAGATACAAATAATTATTTTAAAAAACAATCTGTTAAAAAAACACATTTATAACAAAGCATTAGCATATGTGAAATACATTTATTCATTACAACAAACATTTATTTTTCATTGCATTTACAAACTTATTTTGTTTCATTTCATTCAAATTTTATTTCAATTAATTTATTATTTCTAAAGAAATCTTTTAATTTTGCTTTAATGGCAACAAAGGATGAAAATAAGTCAAATATATAAACATTATAAATAAAATGTGCACATTAAATATGCATAGTATATTAATGAATACAACATAAATATGGCAAGAACATTGTTAAATCAATATAGTGAAAATCAATGAGAGTTTAGTAATGATATAGCAGGTTGTATACAAACCCGATTCCAAAAAAGTTGGGACACTGTACAAATTGTGAATAAAAACAGAATGCAATGATGTGGAAGTTTCAAATTTCAATATTTTATTCAGAATACAACATAGATGACATATCAAATGTTTAAACTTAGAAAATTTATCATTTTAAGGGGAAAATAAGTTGATTTTAAATTTCATGGCATCAACACATCTCAAAAAAGTTGGGACAAGGCCATGTTTACCACTGTGTGGCATCCCCTCTTCTTTTTATAACAGTCTGCAAACGTCTGGGGACTGAGGAGACAAGTTGCTCAAGTTTTCAACTTTTTTGGAATTGGGTTTGTATATAAAATGCGCATATAAGTTCCCACGCAAATATGCCTTTAAAATGATATTTCAATTCTACTTCATTTAGTTTTGGTGATTAAATTATTTGAATTATTTATTGTGGTGGACATATTGTATATATTATGTGCAGTGGAAACTTGCTCTGTGGGGATGTGATTCTTCACTTTGTAGTCATAACCAAAATTATATTATAAAGACTATAATAAATTAAATGACTGACAGCCCAGTTTATCATACATGCATAATACCAAATAATTTGTCAGTTGTAAGGGAACGTAAGATCATAATACCCCCTGCTCATCCAGTTTCATCAGCTGCTCTGTGACCTTCGGTGTGTTGAGAGCAAGACGGAGGCAGTGGGCATTGAGCTCAGGCACGAGGTACTCCAACACCTCCTTTAGAGGCAGGCCTCGAGCCAAGCCATCTGTATACATTTGTAAATTACAGGTGTGACTCGAAGAGTGGGTGATAAATACTGTTATAAGATTTTCTGAGAAAATTAGTACTTGGCACTCCAGAACCCAACATACTATAGTCTTTTAGTACCTGCTCATTATGATTCAGAGATCTCAAACACTTGAAAAGGTGTCATAATGAGTGGGACAAAAGTTTTATACTAAGCTAAACCACGTCTGCCCACCTGCCTGTCTCAAAATAGCAGTGGAACAATTGCCATGTTGGGCTGAGCATCACCTTAGTCACAAAGCTATTAAGGCCCATCAGAATGCATGTGAATCATAAGCAGTTTCTATAAATGATGCCAAAGGCTGAGGTCACATTTAAGAGCCTTTTTTGTTATAATTAGAGAGATCCATCCATTTAAAGCTGCTGTCAAAAGTGGTGTGATTGAGAAGTATGGTTATCAGCCAGTCAGAGCACAGTGTGATCTGTGCTGAGCACTAGCAAAGAGAACTGGCATCTAAGCATGTTATATAAGATAGCAGTGGGCGTCAGACCTGGATCTCCCTCACCGCTAACTGCTTATTTATTAACTCTTTCTGTGCAGGCACGAGGATGCATGTTGCATTTAGATGCTACAAATATATGTCAATGGTATTTGGCATTGTGAATGAGTGCTCACCCCACTGGTTCTGAAGATGACTCTGTAGTTGTATTGCTGGCCGTGCTCTTTGTGATCCTCCAGTTTTTCCCGACGAATGCTGACAGCTACCGGTCCCAGTGTCTCATCGACACCCAAGTAGTTCCAGTGCTCTGAGGATTTTAATATTTGTTCAATTAATGATTCAATAATTAAAAGAACAGCAGCAATGTAAACAAGTGCCATAACAAATTACATAACACAGAATTTGCATTAGGGTCAGTTACAAAATTTAAAGCAACCGTTGATTTAACTGAAGTAGCAATAGATTTAACTACATATTTAAACATGAAATAAATATTAAATAACATCTGCGTTTTAAATATGCTTACATTTGTCAATTCAAAAAGTGATTTATTTACATCTTATTTTTGAATTAATCAACTGATAATTGATTCCTTTCATGTGGAGTGGCACTCCTAATCCACCATGCACCACCCTAATTTGCATGAATATCTCCATTGAGAAATCTTACCAGTAAATCATTGCTGCAAAATGTTAACACTCACCTCTCAAATAAAAGTACTTCCTGTAATAATAAGCACCCAAGTCCACATGTTCAACTATGTTGCTCTTTCCACGATCATGGTGGAGACTCTTGCCATCCTTGGGGGCTTCAAGAACAGCCACCCCTGCATTGCTAAAATGTGTGTTGGGAGCTCTTTCAGGGGACCCTTCTTCATCTCTTGAAGAGCTAGAGGCACCACTGCCGATACTGCCCTGTTTCGAAGGGCTGATGTTCCTCTCTCCTTCACCACCAATTTCGTTACGGAAACATGGGCAGCTGAGAACCAAATCGTTGCTTTTGTCATCACCTGAGTCAAGAGAAGGCCCATCCTTGATGTTGAGCTCTTCCTGGCTGCCACAAGGGGAGCCGTAAGCTCCGCTTTGGGTGGACGAGAGAGAGGACGTGGTGGAAGCAGAGGCCGCGGCTGCAGCAGAGGCACCGGTGGTGGTGTTCTTCCGCTTCACGGCACTTTGCCGACTCTGCACGGCCTCGTTCAGGTCAAACAGAATACTCTGGATATCAAAGTGCGAGAAACCTTTCTGGCAAACCCATGGTTTAGGAGGAGGACCCACGTCATCAGACTTTCCATCCTCTGCATCGGAACCCGCACGTGACGAATCACCTTCAGCTTTGACGCTACGTAGCTTGCGGAATATGGACTCTCCACCCGTCTCTGACTTCGAACGCCTCTTCATGTGCTTTTCTCTTTCTTTCAGGCGACTGGCGGGACTGCCACGAGCAGGACCGAGAGGTCCATCAGGCAAGTCGAGGGCAGTTTGTTTATGAGCTACTGTCAGCAACTCGCTTAACTTATCAGGGGCAGGGCTGCGCTGGTCCGGAGCATCGGTCTGGTAGCCTTTGAGCATGTCGAAGAAGCTTTCGCCGGACACACCATGCTTGTCGATGGATGAGGTACTGCCATACTCTCGATGCATGGGCGTCCATCCTGAGAAAGACCAGCCCTCGCTACCATCGCCGTCTAGTTCACTTATGGTTATGTCGCTGTTGCTGCGCTGCCTTATACGCCGCATACCCTTCCGGGGCGACCCGAGATACCCATCGGGTGAGAGAAAGCGATTGTCTTTGCCTTTGCTATGCATCTTGTTCTTCAGCGTGTTGTGAATGTTACGCAGCATGGATGAATCCTGAGGGCTGATCAGGTGACCGAGCTTGCTTGACAAGTTGCTCTGGGCACTACCTGTGGTGGTGGAAGGGGAATCCGTCTCCACTGTTATGTGCCACACACCACCTCCATTTCCACCCCCTCCTCCACTTCCTCCACTGCCACCATCTTTCCTGGGGGGCCAGTCGGCGACCCGTGCTCGAACGCCCATTTTGGGAACTCCGGGCGTCCCAGTCAAGTGGGTGCTCTCGCTGCGAGGGGGCGGAGCACCTCCATTGGGCAAGCGCAGACGGCGAGTATAAAACTCATCAGTGGCGGGAATAGAGCCGCCCACAGAGCGTTCGGTCTGTGAACGCTTTAGACTGGCCATGGTACGGCTAAGTGGCGGAGCTCAGCACTGGAGCATGCCCGCGTTGTAGCTGAAATAACGAAGCTTGCGGAACATGGACAGCCACTCAGCTGGAGAGGCCAGAGAATGGAGGACAGATAATTGCACGATGAAAGTGAACTTTAAAGTGAACCTGAATCAGGCATGTGTGCAGACCATTAGGTGATTTGACTTTCCTCCTCTCATCCCTTTATGCAGAACTGAAACAGAGAAAAATGAGGACAGTATAAGAATACGGTAATCAAAGCTGATATCTTGATGGTTAAAATAGGGAAATACAGGTGCATCTCAATAAATTAGAATGTTGTGGAAAAGTTCATTTATTTCAGTAATTCAACTCAAATTGTGAAACTCGTAGTTTCAGTCTTTGGTTCTTTGAGGTAAATAGAAAACAAAGCTCTTTAAGATGGTAACAACCAAAACCACACAGCATCAAGGACATTAAAGGAAAATGTGCCTAACTCTTGAGTGTTTTCTCATGAGAGGCGAGTGACATGTTTTACGTCAACAACAACAAGTACCAAGAAAGAAAATCAACATAAAATTGTTTCCTTTGATTATCTAAGTAAGAGAATTTTCCATGAGAATCATTCAAAAGAAAAGTGGTCTATAGATATATCTTATTGGTTGATACTAGATATTTAACTGTTCCATATCTTTGCTCTATTCTCAGATTTTAGACTTAAAAGTTGACATGTAATGAAAATTTAATTTTGTTTTCTAAATGTACAATCGACTGCAAGCTTGCATTCATTTTTGAGTCCAATGCTCACATCTCAAAATCCAATCTAGAACTAATGGAAAGAACGTCCCTTTTCTTACATTTTGTTTTCTTTTTTGATAACTACTTGCACTCGGATGTACATCACAAGGAAGAAAAGATCTGTCACTACTTATGTTTGTGTGCGACTCATGGGTACTTGCCAAAAATAAACATCCCATCTCAATTATAGCGACTTTCTCTTAACTTTCACTTTATCATTAACTATTTATTTCAAAATAAATGTTCACATATTTCATACTTTACATTATAATGCAAGGTTTTTAAATTCACTTAACATGTAACATTGACAATTATTGCATTTGTTTTAACCAGAAATGTTTAATATTGCCATAACATGAAAATAATTACATACTTATTGGTACTGAGCATTTTAATAATGTCTCTCAACTCAATACGTTGGGGGAGGAAAAAATATTTTAACACAGAAAACACTTGACACACTTACAAACTATGCTTTCACATTGTAAGATTACCAATTACTAAACCTAAAATGAGACCCAGGATGATGGTCACACAGGTGAAATATAAATACAGCAGGTGGCACTGCATATAAGTCTTGATCGCTTAAATTATAATGCACTACAGATGAACATTGTTCCCATATGACAGGAGAAGCTCTGAAATGTCAGTTTTCTTGGTTTCCTGGCAACCATCTGCTGAGTGTTGTGGTGCAGAGCGGCGGTGCTGCTGGGTTAACCTTAATGAGAGAGCTGAAGCCCAATGACTACACACACCTACATAATCTGCCACACTCACCACAGGAGAACAACCCTGGGAGAAGAGCAATGCTTCACGACAACGTAGACGTTACAGTTAAAAATATCAGATCAGAAAGCAAAAGATTATGCTTATTACAATAAGGGTAAAAAAATGACCTAATATTCTGTGTTTAATGACAGCATGCAGTGTAAGAGCAAAAATAAGCATTATTACTACAGCAAAATAAAGAAATATATTCCCAAATAGGGCAGTTGACTGAAACAATAGTCATCCAACTGAATCACTTGACATTTTAAGTTTATGAATCACATTTATAGTGCTAGACTATGTGTATGCGCTGATGAAAATATGACAATCTTCCTCCCAGTGAGTCCTGACCTCCCGATGGCTAGAAGGGGTCTGTGGAGAACCGGGTGTGGTGGCACACTAACCCCAACACACACTCGCACACACTGTACATGAGGTCATGGGTATTTCCATTCCTTGAGAGAGTGCTTCCTCTCCCGTCTGCTCTCTCAGAAATGGTGCTGTAATAAATTTCGGAGGTTGCAGCACAGGTGCTTCTGCAAGGCCGAGAGGAACTCTGTGGCTTAGTCATACACAGCTGCCAAATTATAGCCCCAAGTATGACAGATGGGTGCAGCGCGGGCTGACAGATCCCATGTAACCAGCTAATGAGACAGATACCTGTGACCAGCTTCACGAGTGAGACCGTGAGCAGGGCACAGAAGACTAACACGGCAATGAGAACTTTAACTCTGAGAACAAATCTCTGACAAAATGTGACCTTATATAACACAAGTCTTTCTATAAAGAAAGACACAGTAATAGAAAATGCCGTAGTTTATATGTTTATATATATTTATATATGTTTATATATATTTATATATATAAAATGTATTTTATAATATTTTTATCTGGGGTTGGCAAGATTTTTGAATGGCTTGCCAACCCCAGAATATTTGAATGTTATTGTGTAAGGGAAAATTGTGTTATTTCATATGTTATATATATAAAAACTACGGCATTATATATATAAAAAGCAAAAACAGTAATATTATGAAACACTGTCAGTAAAAAGACAACTGACACGACCTTGATACTGTCAATACATTATCCGTTATTAGTCACCGTTTACACTGAAAGTAATAAAGTCAGAATCATTCTCGCCAAAGTTTTGGTGTTGCCTTAGTTAT